CATTAGCATTTCATTTTCTCTTTTGCAATATTCAAATTAAGGGTTAACTGCATCAAATCACTTTTGTCAGACAAATTATTCTATGTGTTAAAAGCCGTGAATGCGTGTCATTTAATTAAGAGTTAAACAATGAAACCTTCTATATGCCGTATATTAGATCAATCTAGTAACATTAGTATAATAACTGTGTCTCGTTGAATATATCAGAACAATATGCATCTGTCAATCATAATAATCAAAAGCATTTAATTGAATCATCTGCTTATTATCTTTAATTTTCATTTTACTGACAAAATTGTAACTAGTTCTTTCAAAACAAAAAGCCTTGATAATATAGTGCTTAAATCATAATATTCATCAACTTCGTACAACTAAATTTTCTTTTTTCTTTTTGTCAGCTACTTGATTGACATCAGTAGCTATCCGTTGAATTAAGTCAAAAAAAAATGATAACTTACTTTTTAAGTGAATTTGTAATGAGTACATGAATATCTTGTCGTTCATCAAGTAATAACATTGCTCCTAAATAACCAATACGTTTATCGGTAAAACGTGTTGATGCAATTAATTTAAGACATTCAAGCTTAAAAAACGAAAAACAATTCAAAATTCTTTAAAAAAATTATAATTTCGTTTTGGATATTGTTTACTTGTCCAAAATGTGCTGGATAACCAAGCAATGAAACATATAATAGTTTAGCAACATTACGACATCTCCATGTATTATCTTCATCACGAAATGAATCTCGTATATAAGCACATTCTTTTTGTACGACAGCACGTTCTTCAGCTGCTGTTTTAGCTGAACGTATTAATCGAATAAGATCACGAAGTCGAACTGGATTTGACTTAAATATTAAAAATTAAATTATAAAAAAAAAATAATGTTATGAATTTATTCTATACCATTGATAAATCCGGAAATTTCATTTTGTTTCTTTTGTTTTTTATTAGAATTTATTTGATTGAGATTATTTTACATATCTTTATTAAAATGAAAGATGAGAAAGAAAACAATAAATATTATCTAGGTTTTATCTTGTGATTCATTCGATTTATTTATTTAACCAATCAAATACGTAGCCATATTAGTTTCATTGATCAATTTTATCTATCCATCCTTGTAGTTTAAAATAAATTAGAAGATGGCGCTATTTAATATATTTTTATTAAATTTAATATAAAAATTAATTAGATAGATAATATCTATTTAGTTAATTATAAAACCTTATTTATATAATCGTTTAAAAAGAAAAGAAAAACAAAATAGAACAACAGTTTAATAATTGTTTTTATTTCGATTGAACATATGTTGATAAACATGTACAAAAATCAATCAACAATAAAAGTTTTGAAATGAAATGACATTCTTTTGAATTTTATCGTAAAATCGATAAAATTCAATTTAGATGAGTAGATTTAATTGAAAATTTCATTCTTTTCGTCAGATATATAGTTCGAATTATTTCAATATAATGGTAAGTCGTATGTAGTGGAATTCAAAAATTAGTCACCAATAGTCTATAAGTAAAAATTCTTTAGATCATATACATAATTTTCTGTCGCTAACAAAGTATTGAAGAAAATCGAAAACAATTGATTAGAATCAAAATTAAATATTCTTTCGAAATGCATATTGAGAAACTGAAGAATGTTTTACTGGGAACTAAACATTAATGCAGAGTTATAATTTTTGGATCATTATTAATTGGTTAATTAGAATGACTTCAAAAATTATTAATTTTTTTTTTTACAGTTAGGATTTTTACAAATATCTAGGAAGAAAATTATGCTATAGTCATTTATATGTGTTAGTTTTCTCAAAGATATATATGCGATATTGCGATATATAATACGCAAAAAAAGAGTTATTTATCCATCAATTGACTACTATACTCCAAATCTTGAATTTTCTTAAACACATGAAAAGTTTGATAAGACTAGGAAAATTTTAAAAGTGTTTACGCTCATTGATCTCTGGAGCCAAATCATGATCGCTGTACTAAGTTTTCGATCTGAAATTCCATCCACAAACACAACGAATGGCTGATAGAATATTTTAAAAGTTTCAGTCGAGAAGAATGTTCCTTGATTCAGTTATTGAACTTCCAAGAAATGGTCGTTTGCCACAAAAATCGAGTTTATATTAATATTCAATATCTCGCCAAAGAAATACTGTTTTCAGCTGATACTCTCAGGACATGCTACTATTCATTTGGCTTGTTTTTGCATGAAAATTTAGTAGAACGGTCATTACTCTGCTCTAGAAACCCATAGACATGAGTCTTTTAAGGACTTTTCTAATCTTGCCAAGATCTTCTTGTGAGCCGAACATGAGTTCAAACGGTTCGTGTCGTTCTCTTGTACGCCTTTTGAAACAAATCTAATGTTTCTTCTTGAGCGATAATTCAACACTATATTTGATTTCTACTAAAATATATATGAAATAAGTTAAGCTTAGGTAAAATATTGTGAATGAACAGAAGAAGAATGAAACTAATAGTTCCTGAAATAGTACTGTTCGGGGATTTTAGTAGAAGCAAGTAAACTTGTTCTCAACCAGATATTATCAGAGAAAAAGAGCATATCTATAAAATATTTTCCAACCGTTAAAGGTCGACCGATCCAGAACGGTTACAATTCTGCTTTGCCTTAGGTCAAAAATAAAATGATATCTCTACAGAATTTTGTGCTTAGTGCATTTTTTTGTATTTCGATTGGAACTATTGAAATCATAAGTGAGTCTTTTTTATGTATCGGTTTATAGAACGAAGTTTCCTATACAAAATATCCAACTTACTCTGTGTATTCTGCATTCCTTGATACAAAGATCTGAATCTATAACATTTTGAATACAAACTGCTGTTTTTGAATCTTTCGAATATTAACTTATTGTAGATCATTATTTTATAGAAAGGTAAATGTTCGAAGAAGAAAGAGAGTTAATACTATACTAAAATATTATCTAGGACAGTTACGAATAGTCAGAAGAAAAGTTTTTGATATAAAATGAGACAACATATCAAATTCTGTTTTTCACTAATTACTTTTCATCATTTCGTATGACTTGTAAATGACGGAATATTGAACAAATATGTTATTCTCAGATATTTCTACACATAGGATAGATAATTTATTTAATTATAAGATTAAAGATAAAGATATTATAGCAAATAACGGGTGTGAACTGAACTTTTTTTCTAAATGATCCAACATGATTGTGTATAAAAAATAAAACCAAAAAAATAGAAACAAAAAGTTTGTTCAACAATCACTGTGACCATGTATTACTAACAACTTTCGATCAAGAATTCTTCACATAGCCATCCATTTCTTTTGGCTACTGAGTAATTGTTAAAGTGCTTGAAAGAACAATGAAATGTACTTGAACTAATACCATGTACGATGCAAAGATGAGAACAATGCGCATTTTTTTTTGGAACTGAACTGATCTCATCTCTCATAGGAAGGATAAAATCACTTTTACAACTATTCGAAAGAAGTCTATTCTTTAGATATTATTCAGAATGATAACCAATTGTAGAGATATTAAGAATATACTGAGAGGATCATTTATTCTGGTACATCAGTTAGCTTAGGAGTTAATAAAGTTTTATCAGAACTTTATTGAATACTTTTTTATGTAATATCAGTCGGAAACAATAGTTTATTTGTTTTCTTTCTTGTTGAATTCATATTAAACGAATTTAATTATTGTTTTGTTCAATAATTGATAGAGTCGGTCAATAAATGTACGTTTAATAGAAATTTTCTTTATTTTTTATTCAGAAAAAAAGTATTACGTTATATTAATGTATTTATCATTCGTCCGTTGATCCATGCTAAAATATATTCATAGAAATATTTGATAATAAAGAATAATTATTAAAAAACAAGACTAGATCTAACGTAAGTCATTAAGAAGGACTGTTATGTCAAACTTGACATTTATTGATTAGAAATAGGGTAAGTTATTTCATACACTTTTCAAGTTATAAAAAGAAAGTATGACGTGAAAGAGCTTTTTTTTCTTGATTGATTTATTAGCAATTCGAAGTTTCATTATCCCATCGAAACAACTGCCAAGTTTGATAGTTAGTCTTCGTTTCGAAAGATCATTCAAGTTATGAATAGTTATGTTCAGAAGTTTAGTCTGTTTATAGACTTGTAAGAAACTGAAGTATTTTATTTTATTTTTGATTTCATTATTGGGACATCAATACAGTAGACAGTTCGTTAGAACGACATATATTAATATCAATTGATTCTTATTCTTACAAACTATTTTTATTCTCTAGTATAGTAATATTTCAATACATTGTCTCTTAGATTTGTTATTTATTCAGTTTATGTTATGTTACTTGAACTGCACAAATATACTGAGATGAATTTGTGACTAACTTAGTACCAGAATATAACTAAGTGTTCAATAATTTAGCTCACATGAAAAGAACTGATAAACGTATATTCTTTATTCAATTTTTGCAATTCATTGAACTGGAAGTTTTTGACATGCTTACCGCCAGAAGCTTTCTGTTAAGATCTGCTTATCAATGTAATTTGTTATCTACGATTAACAGCATTAAATAGATGATGAAGTCTTGCTATCAAAAGAATGTTTAGTCATGTTCTCATAACACATATAGAGGCATTACTTCAAATACATCAAAATAATCTATCTTTCTTCTTTTTTCTTCTTCTTATTACTAAATCATCAAATAGTGTTTTATGTTTAGCTCAACTGCTTGAAATATTTGTTTTTTCTTTTCGCAAGATGCTTAAATCATTCTATTTGAATCCTATATTACAATTATTGAGTAAATAGAGTATACTTGTTTTGTTCCTAGTAATATCTTAATAGTTATCAAACATTTAGTAATTATGAATCTCATCAGCATTGATATTATCATCATCTGATAATATTTCTAGTCAATTTATGCCAAACAAATAGTCATAATGATGTTTCATTTCAGATAAAAATAACAAACTATTGACTTATAATGCAAGAGGTATAGAATGTATATGAAGTTTTTTTTTTGAATTTAACAAAAAAAAACCTTTTTTTTTAGTTTTCAATCGATGAACAAGAAGAAGAGAAAATGTTACAACATAATTCTCCAACATTATCTAGTAATGATGATTTAAAAGAACTATGTCTTTTACTTGATGCTGAACGTAATAAAATGCATGAGTTAGCTGAACAATGGAAACTATTTGGTACAAGTACAATACATAAACTTGAATGTCAAATAATTGATTATCAAGAAAAATTAAATGAACTTGAACAAAGACAAATATTACTCTTAAAAGAAAATGAATCACTTAAATCTTATATTAATCAAATGATGATAACAACAAATTCAAATGAAAACTCTTTAAAAGATGTATAAATTCTAAAACAAAAATTTCATTGAGTTTATTTTTGTTCTTTCTAATAAATTGCTTTACTTTTTTGTTTTTTTTTTATAGAAAAAAATTCAACAAAATTCTTCAACTCAAACACATTTTGAGAAACATGAATCATCACATCATTTATGTTTTCATCGACCTAAACCAATTTATGATCGTTTATCACGAACAACAACAACAACAACAGCAGCAACAGTTCAACCAAAAATTTCAATTAATAAATTAACACGTCAAATGTCAATTGATGATCCACTACAACAACAAATTTCTATTCAAAATATGTTTGATGCAATTAAAGTAAATAATGAAACAAAAGAAAAATTTCTTATTATAATTTTTTTTCTATAAAGACAGCTGAAGTTTATGAATCAATTGAAGATATGATTGGAGATCATGATGAATCAGAAAAAAAATTACTCAAAGAATTTTGTAATGTAAGTTTAAAGTGTATTTAAATAGTGCAATAAAAAAAGCATGACCTTTCTATAAATGGTTACATTTTATTCTCGATGAATGAGACAGGAAGAGACGTCGATTTTTTTCCTTTCACTTCCTATACAAATATTTGCTTTTTAATTTATATTGACTTTTAAATTTTTTTCTAATGACTAATATAGCTTTTACAACTTGTCTATTATGAGTGTTAACTGACAAAGATATATTATTTGCCCGTAAACTATAACACACAAAAGAAAATCATTGTCTTCTAGATAGTAATAATAAATGATTAGAATACTTTTCTTGAATAAAGAAAAATGAACCTATGGTTTAACATTGATTATATATATGATGCGCATCCTTTTTTTTCTCTTTTTTAGCTCATTTGGAAATACCTCGAAGATCGATCAAAGCCGAAAAGCAGTTGTTTATTATAAAACAATTCACGACCTGTTTTTTTTTAGTTGTCAGATAGCACATAAAATTCAATTGATTTTTTTTTTGACATTTGTTTGAAATTTTTAAAATAAAAAATTATTCATATGCATATATCTATACAATAAACTAAATGGAAATAGTATACAAATACACATAGGTACAGAATGAGATGATGATGATATGATCGTATATTGATCATTTGATGTTTTACTTTCAATACTCTTTGTTTCTTGAGTATTTATCTCTGAAAGTGTGGTAGGTGTTGTTATTGTTGTGGTTGTCGTTATTGTGGTTGCTGTTGTCATGATAGTAGTAATAGAAGTGATTGAATTAATTATACTAGAACGGAACGATGATGAGGATGATGATGATGATGATGATTGAAAATGTTGTTGATTATCACTTTCCATATCCATATCTTCATCTTCGAGATAATCTTCATCATCAAAATCATTTAATTCATTTGCTTTTCTCATATCATTACGTAAATCATATATAGCTTGTTCTGTTAAAGGTAAATTATCTTGTGAACGTAAAACGAATGATGGAAATATCTGATAAAAATCAAAGAGAATTCATTAAAGATTATATAAGAAACTTTTTTTTATTGTCCTTACGTTAGCTGCAAAAAATGATGATGATGATAATGATGATGTATTAATATTTTCATGCATTTGACACTGAATTAATCTATAATAGATAATAATAAATGATTTTGTATGTGAATTTTTTTTTCAAAGATAAACAGAGAAATATTTTTTACCGTGTTGTTCGAAGAACAAAAAAAATAAGTTTCCATAAATGATAACAATCAAGAAAAGATGAATCAATTGTTGGAAACAATTGCATTTTATCTATTTGTTTATATCAATAGAATGAACAATGTAAGAACATCATATATTGTATGCATATAATATGACTTGATCTAAACAGTTCAAGTAAGTGATAAGAAGAAATATTTCATGACTGATAGGGAAGCAAAAAAAAAAGGAAAAGAAAAGATTGTCATTTAAGCTGACACTTTCGTGTTTGTCGATCCAAACAGAGAATATAGAACATAATCTCAATCAGAGTAGCAATGAGCAATCATCAGAAGAAGAAGAAAAAAGAAAAAGAACTACTACACGTGAGTACCAATTCGTCCGGCAAGTGATTCTTGAATAAAACAAGAGGAACACAACGTACTATTACTTCTAAATTAGTCAACGCATAGAAACGACAAGACTTGTTGACAAACTATTATTCTCTTAGATTTTTTTCTGCCTTCATCGTTTTTTTCTCGTATGCTTTTTCCTTTTTTTCCCTATTCCATAATCTGTTTCTAGTGATATATAGATATGTGGCAAGCTCGTTAGTTGATCATTTCTTCATAGGAAAACGAATTAGCACCTATAGAGTTTCGCGTTAATGCTCTTTTCTGATCATATATCAATCATTTCGTTGATTCAGTCTTATACCAAAAGAGCTACTCATAAACAAGAAATTGATCGTCACAGGGGATCGCTTAGACATTCATGCTAACCTCTCAAGTCGCTTATTGCTATCCTTGTTTGTCCCAAAGCACCATCTTACTTTGCTCCATATCTCTCTCTCTCTCTCTCTCTCCTTCTTGTGCATTTTTCATTTCCGCTATAATGATGCGAAACGACGCATAAGGGGTTCAATGACTGTGCCTCGTACGGTATGAAAGCATCATTGTAATAAACCCGTTGTATTGAGATGCGGAAAATCGTTATGAACAATTCTTTTTTTTGGTTCTATATTTTTTTCTTTTTCTCACATATATGTAAAAGCAAAGCTCGAGAACATTTTCGATGTTTTCTTCTCTCTCTCTCTCGCTTTACTCTACAGATCTACTATGGTGACTATTACTTATTAGAACCTCTTCAATAGAAAAGAAGACGGAAGATGAACGCATAAGAATAAGCGAAGCAGTTGGATGCGATTGAAAAACAATTAGATCTTGACGGGTCTATTCAATGAATGAACGTGACACTAACCTGAACAAAAAAAATGAAATGATAATGACGTTCTTAAGTAGAAGAAAAAAAAAAGAAATTTGAATCCATATAATCGATGAGATTTAACGCTAAGAAATGATTGATAAGATGAACTTGATTGAATGTGTTAAATGTTAAAGAATTGTACTTGAACTAATTTGACAAAATTAGCAACAAGATAGTTAATACTTTTTTTCCTTGTCATTGCTTTATATATTTATATATTTATTTGAATAATAAGGCAAAAGAAAAGTAATACTCGATGTTATAATCAAAATATTAGTTAACGAGAAAAAACAGATCAACCAGTGGATGCTCCAGTAACTCCTTTCTTAACTTCAACCAGAAATGCTTTCATACCAACATATGTTTCATGACACACACCAGGTGCTTGATCTGGTGGTAAAACAAAACCAACTGATGATTCGGCTAATTAATTAATATCAAAAGTAGAAATCTTTATTTTCATGAAAAAAACATCTGTACTTCGTGATGGTGGAAGTTCAATTGTATATGAATAAGGAATTTTTAAATCATCATAAGCCCAATCAACAGTACTACCAGTAGCAATGTCTAAACAAAAAAAAATAAAATAAAATAAATTTGATTTGATGAGACATAAATGAAAATAACTTACATAACACATCAGCAATACCACCAATCTCATATGTTCTTTTACTATTTACTCCTTTAATAGCATTTGCACCAGCTTGTGCTGCTGATACATGTTGTTGATAATTAGGTGGATCATTATTTGAATAACCATACTAAATATTTTTTTTGTTCGAAAATATTTTCATAAAAAAAGAAATGACTTTACCGGTGTTCTAAAAAGAAATTAATCAATAAAGACTAAAAGAGAAGAAACAAAAAACTAAAGTTTACTTACAACCACAATTGTCCATATGAATGAAAAGACATATACATATCCCATGAACCTATTTTCGACGTGAGAAAATTAATCACATTTTTTGTTTCAATTTCACTTTGGGCTGATGAACCTTTCACAGTGGACAAGAAAAAAAAAAAAAATATATATATATATATATAGAAATATCAAAATTGGTTTGTCTTGATAGTTACCACCATATGTTTCACTGCATGGAGAGTTGCTGGCACCACCTAACAGAAAATAAAGCAGAAACAAGCAAGATTAAAAGGCATATTTGTCCGAATCGTTTCTCTGTTATACCCTCCATCCATTTCCTTGGATAATTACGATTGAGATCAACACCGTAACAATTAAGAAAATTATTGTTTCTACGATTCTTACGCCATAATCGAGTCTAAATAATTTTTTATTTTTGTTATCAAAAATCATATTATAAAAACAATGAAGCTTACCTTACTTCGACTAAATTCATATCCTTAAATAATAAATAAACATAAAATAAAATAAATTTCAGCTATAATTAATTTCTTACCATCAGGATTAAGTACTGGAGCAATATAAACAGTCCAATAATTGAGTAAGTCTCGAATTGTAGGATTATTATTATTATAGTCTTCAATTAAGTTATCAATCATCCAAACACACATAGCTGGTGTAATCCATTCTAATGTATTGAACAATAAATAATTAAAATGAAATATATTTTGATATATATTTTTTTCTTCATATACTTACCTCTTGCATGAATACCACAATCAATCCAAATATTTCGAGTTGATGATGGATTATATTGTATAGAAATAAGTTTCATTGATTGACCTTCATGTGAGTTGCCCATATCACGAACTTGAATATGTGTTGGATCATTATTTGCTTTCTCTTGCATATATGTTACTATATCATTGTAACTAACATATTTTCCCACAATATCTATTTTAGTTTGTCCAAGCCAACGACTTTCGATTTGTCTCATAAAATCATCTCTTTCAATTTGTTGTCGTTCAATATCAATAATTGTTTGTAAATCATCAACAACAACATTAAATGGTATTGAATATTGGTCAAATTCTGAAACGTATTGACCAAACTCATTTGCATTTATATGGATATCAACTGGTTTATTTGGTCTTGTGATTTCAGTCCAAAAATCAAGTGAAGAATTCATTTCGAGATCTTGAAGATATTTTATATGTTCATCAGTTAATGGTTCTACACGAACTAACTTATCATTAACATATAAACGATTGGCTTCATCACATATAACTATAGATATAAGAATAAAAACAAAAAAAAACGGTCGATTCATGATGATAAACAACAAAACGAAACTAACTGATGATAATACAGCAGATTATATAGATATCAACATAGTGTATTTTTTCCTTTGTCATCCTTAACCTTCTATTGATTAAAGATTATATTGTATGATAACGTATTGAGTGGGTTATGCGAACATTTACCAGATGTTTGTCCATGGTCACAGTTCGATTTTTGTTGTTATTTTTTATTTTCTAGGTTTAACTTTTCTTTTTTTCTTTTTTTTTCTTTTTTTGAAGATAACAAAACAATAAAATAAGATGTGAACTTTTTTTCTTTGAAAAAGATTAGATTCAAAATATTACAATAGATATACATCAATTATTCATGTGCTAATGTATCAGATATTGGTGCAACAGGATCACTTGTA